GCATTCTAAGCCAGTCCCTTCCCTGCAATTGGATTTGAATGTTGCCCAGGGGGGATATGCTTGGGGCTTTGGCAGCAACCGGGGAAGCTTGACTTCCTATTAGCTTTTGTTTGCAGATCTGGAAAGGCATTGTGGCCAGTTGGCTACATCTTAAGATGAAACATGCTGGACAGAAAACACTGCGGGGAGTTGCAAAAGCTTGGGGGCTCCCCATTAAATGCTCTGACATAGTGACTGCTTACAATGATTGTTCCATAGGTGCTAAGAGGTACCTGTGGAGACTGCCAGCAAAAGGTGAACATATGAACGGGGCCATGAGCCTTTTGACCCACTGGCAAGTAGACTATATCGGCCCCCTCCCATGTTTGAAGTGGCCTGACTCACATCCACTTGTGTTGATACTATTACTTCAATGGTCCCCAACAATTTGGGCATCAGGGACTGGTTTTGTGGAAGACAATTTTCCACAGAAAAGGGCAGGAGGATCATCAGTCATTAGATTTTCATAAGGAGCACACAACCTAAATCCCTCGCATGCACAGTTCACAACAAAGTTCATGCTCCTATGAGAATTTAATGCCATCACTGATCTGACAGAAGGTAGAACTCTGCTCAACCACCTTTCCTCCTGCTGTGAGGCCTGGGTTCCTAAAAGGCCACAGATCACTACTGATCAGCGGCATGGGGCTTGGGGAACCCTTATAGGATTACTGCAGGCCTTCCCTAACAAATGAGCTATACACTGCTTAGTCATCAGGGGGCTGTCACAACTCCTTGCAGCATATGGCATCCATGAGTCATAGAAAGTGACCAGAGAATGCACTTTATTGGACATCAAGTGCAACAACGGACTGAGTGGCCACATACTAACTGGTGATTTTACCTACTCTACAACCCTATAAGTACTAATCTAATAGAAAGTTACAATGTCATGCTAAAGTATGCTTTAAAGACAGATCTGCACTCCTCGGAGGGGTGGATGGCCTGACTGCATAGAGAAATCTGTACTCTTGAAAGATGCCATGCTGGTCATCCAGCACTCCTAGACATGCTGACACAACCATGGGCAATGCCCTTGAGGAAGCAGATCTGCATGCAAGAATCATTATTTTGTTCAAGTTGGGGAAATGAGAATAATCTGTTGCTGCCTGCCCCACAAGACATAGTGTCCACAGAGAATATTCTCCATTTGCCCTGGAATGTTCAATTTGAACCTCACTGAGGCTCCCTGCCTGCTCTCTGGGGAGAAGGAATAGACTGTAATTTAGATATTCATCCTATGGTTATGGGAAAATGGACATATGCAGGATATGGATGCCATATTTGACTCATGTATCCACCGCAGGGAACTTGCAGAAGATCACTGTTACACAAAAATTGTGAGGGTGGAAAAAAGTCAATGTAGAGCTGTAGTGTGGGGTATTGTCCTGACATGTACTGTTTTCCCCTTCCCTCAGAGAGCAACCTCTGACCAAGGCTGGTCTCTGAGGGATGGGCGTATTCCCAATAATGAGCCATGGAATGCAGCTGGTCAAGCAAAGCTGAAAGCAATGTAGTTGTCACTCTTAATCAATGTAATTGTAAGCACTGTATAGGAATTTGAATAATTAACTTGATTGTTTTGGTTATAAAACTGCTTGCTATATACTGCTTTGCGTTGCAAATTCTTTACCAACCTGCCACCATTGGCGCCTCTCATAAGTTCTAATAAACCAATGTCTTTCCCTGCGGGACCTCTGCATAAATTCTTTGAAATAAGTAAACATTATGGTACAAGGTGTCTTAGATTTGGGGTTACTATGTTACACTAAGGCTGATCAATTTCTTTTATTGAAAAATATACTTTCTGGAGTAAATGGTATTAAGGTTATTTAATTCCTTTATCAATTTGCTATTTAGAATTAAATCACCACAAATTAAAAAAAATTTACTGAAATTGTTTTCATCTGAACAAATTCTTTTTTTAAAAAAAATTTTTGTTTATTCTTTCTGTTTACCAATGGGGGGATACAATTTATTTACACCAGCAGCCATAGGGGCAAGGGGAATACACAGTTAGTCAGCTATCTGTATAAGATGGACTACTTATGCAAAAATAATGATCTCCAAAACAAAGGACAGTGGTGAGCTTCACCCCGCCCCCAATGATCCCAGCATGTGATAATGCCAGACAGTGGTCCCTTGGCACGCTTGATGGTGGTGGGAATTAATGAAAAAAAAAAGCCACAAACCACATAAATTTTTAAAGAACCCCTTTTCCCCATAACACACACACACACACACACACACACACACACACACATACACACACACACTCAGATACATAATAGGATTACAAGGTGATCAATACACTTAATTGAAGAGGAGAGAATAGTATTCTGTTGTTAGAGGAAAGGTAGGTAGGGAAAGGGAGAGTTCCTAAACACTGTCAACTACATGGTAGGGAGCATTTTCTCCCCCAAAGAATCTGTACCCCCAGGGCACCTGCTGGACCAAGCCCACCTACATCCATCCAGGGCAGGAGGGGGCTACTGCCCTACTGATAGAGGGACACACACACACAAAAAGGTTGGGAGGTAATGTGAACAAATCATTATTCAAAACGATGTCCCACTTCCTTCTCTAACCAAGAGAAAAGGTCAGAAAGAAAACAGTAATATCATGATCTGCGTTCCCTAGCTAAAAGAATGATTAGACCATGGCTTTTCTCCCTTACCTTCATCCAGCTTCCAAGACATTGTCAGGAAGTAGGTCACAGTCTCACTTAGATCCTCCTTTCCCTCTATATCCTCTTAGATGTCTACAAAAAGTCAAGGGCAAAGATAACCCAATATTACTCTAGCTCCTGCAAAGGTTTGACTTTTTTCAAAGTTATTACAATTCTTCAGTTGAAGACCAATCTGTAACTAGATCCAGACCCTAATCAAGACAACCCTAGGAAGATAAAGCACTAATAGACAGTCTCAAGGTCCAAGCTCTATGGTATTCTTAACACTTTATAGTACATAAATGAAGTCAACCCATACAGTCCAAATAGTTCCTTTTGGGAAATGGAAGAGTAATTGCACAGCAAGGGTTAGAGAATGGATAGAGCTGGACCAACTCCATCCCTATATATGTCTGCCTTTACTGCTCTTCTGCTTAGGTCCTAAGAGGCAGTATCCAAGTGGAGGCAAGAAGATATAATTCCTCATGAAGTAAGACACAGCAGGGAGAGCACACTAGCAAGGCGGTCCTATACAGGAGAAATGCTTAGGTATTAAACTGCCTTTTAAGTACAAAAAATTATGTTTTCTTCCAATTCCAGTTCCAACAGAGAAAGCCATAATAAAGATTCTTAAGTCTTCTACAAAAACAGGAAAAGGAAAAACAAAATACTTGAAGGAAGCCAAGGGAAAGAAAACTGGGCAGGCTTCAGAAGCATGAGCACTAAAAGAGATGGATTGAAACTGGTCAATGTGAAAGCTGGAGTGGCAAGCAGCATCTGGGGTCATGAGCTGCACCAGATAGGCAGTGGAGCAGGGGACAAGAGGAACATGGAGCCAAGAATGAGGTAAGAAAACATTTCAAATAAAGCAGCACCGTTCCCATTCACTGTGGGGCTCCTACCCCGCTATGCTTCGCAAACCCTTGCTCAGGTAGTAAAGTGTAGTTTTGATATGTGGCTGTCACTTCCCATTTTCCCCTATCGCATTCCCTCAAGTCAGGACATTCTGGAGGTCCGTCTCTGTCTCCAAATAATAAAAGGATAGCTCTTGTTGGCAAGAAGATCCAAAGAGAACCTAGTGGAATGGACTGTCCTCTGTGATGGGAAGAGAATGTGGTGACGGTCTGGATGTTCACCATAGCAGAGCTCTGACTGCCCAACTAAAGAAATAGAAACATTCAACAGGATTACTTCTGCACACAGTCAGATGAGAGATGGTCCAGTCCTGCTCCTTGGCTCCTAGCACTAACCCATTCACATTACTGAGGGCAGCTGGAAGAGGTCCTCTCTAGGCTCAGTTTTCAAATCACAACCTCTTACACAGTCATGATTGATTCTCTTCTATAGTTCAGGCCTGCCCCTAGAGTGGGAGGCAGATAGTGACCTGGCATAATGACCAAGTTACACCCATGGACTGGTTGGTTACCAGTAATTCAGAAATAACTGCCCCACAAACTTATATCCACAGAATAATACATCCAGATATGAATCTTGCAGTTTGAGAAATTGTGCATAGTTGTAGAGGTCCCTGCTACTTCTCCAGGGGATCAAAACTGAATCCTCAGCCTGCTCGGACTACAAAATTGTACATTTGCAAGCCTATGCCACCAGAGGCGAGGGCAAGAGCGGGCTCCACTCAGTCAAAGGCTAGGCCTAGTCCTCAAACTGGTTGGAATCACTGTGAAGACTGGACCTTGGAGAAACCAGTGGTTTTTATCTTTTCTTCTTGTACTCAAGGTTACAAAGTTTCCCTACCAATTCTTGTTGGAAATCCTTTTTCTTGGTTTTCTCAAATTGAAATTGTTAGCATACAGATCTCACATCTGACTTTTTCATTTATCTCAAGCCCAAATCAGAGATCAGAAGAGCAGTCCCACTTAGGCCACTGATTATAGCTCTGACCAATTCAGTAATGTCCACAATGTCCAGGAAGCCCCTGACATCAGGCAGAGTAACAGAAAATTTTCCATGCCGGGCACACACCGCTCACCTGAGAAACAGGGGCACTACAGGATCTTGGGCACATCCTCGTGTGTTTAGATATATGCACACATTGCACTGTGAACAGGCTGTGCAGCTACTCCTGCCCCTGGCGGCAGAGCTGACCTCAGGAAATACACTTAGAAAAGGAATTCCTTAATTCTCCAAGTGGATTTTTTAAACGCTAAGATCTTCAAGGGGAATTTGAACTTTTGTTGGATTTTTTTTTCCCCTTCCTACTTAACTTACTCCTCCAAGCCACAGGACCAGTCTGTCATTGTCCTGGTCACTCACAGTCGCTCTCATGTTGCAGCTACTGGAATTCCGGAGGTGAGCGCTGCAGCTGCAGATCGGGCCCATTCTCAGGCTCTCCGGGAAGGGAGCAGAGCGGGAGGGGGCACGTGCCTTTGTCTTCCACGGGTTGAATGCCAAAATCCTTTCCGCTTCCAGTCTCTGCGAACTCCAGGTAGAAGTAGCCGCACTTGACTGCCCGGGGCACCTCAAAGCAGAATCCCAAACAAGAATCCTCTATCAGGTCTACGTAAATCTCCTCCGCGATGGCCTCTAACTTGTTAGTATCCAGGTTGGCCAGCGAAATCGCTTCCATTTTAATGCGTAAGCGACCGTGGAGAGGGCGCTCGCCTTACTCACGGTAACAACACGTCTGGTTCCGCGGGTCGCACCCAGGCCTACAAGGCCTCTTAGGGCCGCGTCCTTCAGCAGCAGCGGCGGCGCCCGCGGCGACAGAAGCAGCAGCGGCGGCAGCGGCGACTGCCCCGGAATCCCAAGTCCCTCCGCTGGTTCGGGCGTCTCCCGGACTCGAAGCTTTGAGCGGCGCCGGACCCGGGACTCACCACCCAACTGTCTTGGCGCCTCACCCAGCCTGAACCAATTCTTTTAAGTGTAAATTTTGCAAAGATCCCATTTTGATTTAAATTAAATTTTACTCATGCCATACGAGTCTTTTGTGTCCATAATTTCTACAAAGTTCAAATATCCTGTCTAAAACTTTCAGAGCCAATCTTGTAAAGATATTTTTAGTTAAAAAAAAATCATACTCAGCAATCTTTACCATAAGTAATTTTACTTATTTTTGAGTCTCTCTCAAATTATTTCAATAAAGTTTTTTTTTTCCCTTTTTAGTCTTAAGGTGATTCTTTGGTCAGTGTTTGACTTGCAGCAAATTTTATTGTGTGGAATTTTAGCTATTAGTTTCTTTTTGTGTTGATTACTTTTATTATGCTTGATTTTAAAATGTATCAATTGTGGGAGTTTTCACTTTACCAGCCAGTTATGATTCCTGACTTTTTTTTTTTTTTTTTTACCTGTAATGGCAGAATTAAAAAATGTTCTCATTACATTTGACTTTTGCTTTTCTAAATCTGCATTAGAATAGCCCTAATGCTTGAAAAAAAATTTGTTGTTCTTCTTTAGACATATATGTCCCTGTGGTTAAACAATCCCTGACATTTGGAGCCAAGGTAGAAAACAGGCAGACGTGATTAAAAAAAAAAAAATCATCATAAGGACTGGCTCTCAGACTAGCCATCTCTAGTAGCAGCTATGAGATACCTCCTAATGGGCAATGAGTGATCTCTAGGTTTGTAGTAAGGTTCCGATAATAGTCACAGCCAGTTCTCAGTTGTGCTGAGGGAAATTCAGCAGGAGCAATCAAGCGGAGACCAGGGCTCCTGTGCTAAAGCCACAGCACAGGTGCTACTTTTTTTGTTGATTTCCTTGTTAATGTAGCATGGAGAGAGGGTAAAAACTCCTCCATTTAGATCCCCTTGCTGTATTATCTTCCTATCCTAAGTCAATCCTCCATTTCCTCTTAAATGTGTTATATTCCAAAGTGGAAATACTCTGAATTCCAATTGCAGCTAAGGGCTTACTTGAGCACAGAAGAGGTTAAGTCTTCCGACTTAGGGTTCCTTTGTGGACATTTGAAAGAAATCAGAGATGAAGCTCTCCTTGAGCTCAGGAGATTGGTTTCCCAGGGAAACACCCAGAATCAGATTCCTTTACCAAGCAGCCTTTGCATGACTTCCCGTGACCTACTGCTATCTAAAGAATTTTCCAATACTCAGAAATGTCTTCTTGTTTATAATAAAAGAGAATTCAAGGTTTGAGGGATTTATTACCTAGGGCTGAAGGATAAGCCTCTGCATTCTTCATTTTGGACAAAGGTGGTTCTCCCTAAAGCCTCTCAGCACCATTGGTTATTCTGGGCCATGCATTTCTTCTTTCAATAAGCTTGGGGGCAGATAAGAAGAGAATCTCTCTCTCTATTCCCACTCTCCTGAAAGCTAAAGGCCAGAGAGCAGGTCTTGCATTTATATGGATTTGAAAAAGACAACACATAATTTATTTATTAATTTGTTTAAAAAGCATTTATTGAGCATCTATTATTTGCTAAACATTGTTATGTTGTGAAACACACACACACACACACACACACACACACACACACGCACAATAAATTCAATCAGAAACAATCAACCATACTACACGGTCTCCTTCCTCAAGGAGACAATATAGGAGAGGAGAAAAACTGATGAATGGTATTACATCTCAAGTCAATGGCACAGACACTACCCTGTGAATTCTCAGGGGAGACATTCAGGGGTATGGAGAAAATCTGAACACGCAAATGCAGAGCATATAGTTTATTTATCACTGGGGGAAGCAAAGTCATGAAAGAATAGATATTTAGTATAATAAATAGTCTAGCCGGGTCCACAGCACTCATGTTTTGGAGAGCTGAGATCTGAGAATTAAGGTGGGAATGATAGAATGAGGCTAAACTATGGAGTTCTTTGGATGGAGTATAATACAGTATTTTCCAAAGTGAATGTTCTTTGATTGTATAACGAAGGCAGAATTTCATGAGTAATCTGGAGTTGTTGGTAGGAAACCAGAAGTAGTTCACTGATGCAGCACAACCATTGATGATAATTTTAATACACATATTAACTGATTAATCTCCATAAGTTCTTATTGAGAAGATATTGTCTGTTTACAGATGAAAACATGAGAGTCAGAAGGGTTAAATAACTGGATAAACTTTGCACATAAAATAAAGGACTAGTCTTCACTTAGACCCAATCTTCTTTACTCCTTGTGTATCTTTGGCATAGCAAATCTATCTTGTTCCAAAAAACAAACAGATGTCCTTTTTTTTTTTATATATGAATAATGAGGTGATGTTTTATCTTGATCCACAGGGGTGGGAGGTGAGCAGGATTATGTAAGCTTCCTTTGCAGAAACTTTTAAAAAGCAAAGAAAATATCTGCTGACTTTCTAAATTCTACTTTTTGAACAATCTCATATATTTCAGTGTCTTATGATAAAGATACATTATTTGAAGACTAGGGAAAATATAGCCAACCTCAGTGCTAAGCTACTTTCTGCTAGTAAGTGAGTAATTTATAAAGGTAACTTATTTCTTTTAGGCTGAAATAATAAAATGTGACAGAACAATCATTACATTATTTCAGTGTTCATAGACCAAGGTTACTATCTTATTGCTAGTGGTGGGATGTCTCATCATTGTAAATTAGAACTGATAGTCTTACCAGATTTCATGTAATATAATCTTTTTTTCTGACCTCATTTATGATTCAAGGGACCCTGGGACTGCAGGAGGGAAAAAAAGATTTCTTATCTACATAGCCTATCAACTTAAGTAGACTCTAAATTCTCTCTGAAGTCTTAGAGAGACCATTCTGAGTTACTTTGAATGGCCTCTTCACAGTCTTTCTGGTTGTAGTCTTTTTTGGTTTAGGTTTAAATAAGCCCCCTTATAATCTTCCTATTGCCACCCTACACTGTGCCAACCATATAAATGTACAGATTTAAACTCAACATGAACATTAGATGCTGAGACGTCTACAGAAGTCTAGACATTTGGTAGAAGCTATGGATTAAAGAAAAGAGACAGCACTGATTTCCTCCTGAGAGGTGACTCTCAGGGAGGCTTGTTTTCTGGCTTTAAATTTATCTTGTTTTCTTTTTGGCCCTTTTTCTCCTCACCAAATTGTTTTCTTTTCTCACCACTTCTGATATTCTGCCTTCTCTGTACTCTGGCCTATTTCTAGATCAAGTCAACAGCTAAGAAAGGATCTTATAAGTCAATATCCTTCTTATTGTGGATTCCAGGGAGTGAAAAACCAACATAAAAAATTTCAGACTCTAGGAAGAAAACATCTCTGCTTATAATTCATCTTTGATTAATTTACTTATTGAAGATCTTAATTTTGCCAGAAAATAAAAGATTTTTCTCTAATAACTATTTTCAGACATGTTCTTCTGTATCTTCCTTCCCAATCTCTCATTACAACTCAGGCATATTTTATACATTTGTGGTCACTTTCAGGTATTGCTAAACCCATTTAAACCTTAAATCTTACTTTCCATGTTATTTGTCTGCTCTATCCAAGATCAGGTTAGCTCCTTATTCAGGGAATTTCCCTCTTCCTCCCTCCCCCCGCCCTCTCTGAAGGGGGAGGGTTTTTAATTTTCCATGATTCCTTTACTTTTTCTCTTCCAACTTCCCAGGGACAGAGGAGGAAAATTCAAGGAATAGGAACAAAAGGTTTGTAGACAAGTGCTATGGTCATGTGGCCACTGTTCCATACTCTCTGTGTTCACAATAGCAGCTATTCCAGCCAGTATCCTTCCTTAGGAATGCACCAGAAAAGAAACAGACATTGATTTCATACTAGTGCTTGAGTGTACCCTCCAGGCCCCAGTGCATACCCATTACACGTGGGTAAACTGTCCCAGCTCAGTGGCAGTACTGATTTAAGCATATGCAATTCTGCAGCTCAGCTTCTTCAGGTTGGTGGATAAGACACCAATCTTTTTGAGGTACTTCAACTCAATCTCTTTAAAGACCCTCTTGATGTATCCCTCCGGTAGAATTGAAGTAGAGGAACAAACAAAATGGTTGCAAGTTTGAAAAGAAAGAAAGAAAATTGTTCTTATTTTCATATAGCATGATTATTTACATAGAAAATTCCAAGGAATCTACTACAAAAAAAGTCCTTAAGTTTTCAGAATACAAGATCAACACACAAAAATCAATCACATTACTATATACTAGTAATGAATACCTGGAAACCCACATTAAAAACACAAATTTTTATGATCACTCCAAAGAAAATTGAATACATACAAACTTAACAAAACATGTATAGACTACTGATGCTGAAACTATAAAATACTACTGAAGAAACTCAAAGAACTAAATGAAAGGAGAGAAATACTGTATTTATGAATTGAAAGATTTAAAATAACAAGATGTCAATTTTCTCCAAATTGATCTGTAGGTATAATTCTTACCTAAATCCCAGTAAAATATTTGGTAGATATGTACAAGTTTATTTAAAAGTTTATATGAAAAGTTATAGAGTCTAAAAAAGTTAAAACAATATTGAAAATAAAGTAGAAGAATCACTCTACCTGATATGAAGTTTTACTGTAGCTACAGTAATCACAACGGTGACGAATTAGTGGAGAGAAGGACATAGATCAACAAAAAACAGAGATAATGCAGAAACAGACCTATGCAAATATGCCCATTTTTTTCAAACCTTTCATTTTGA